CCCCAAAACCCCAAAACCCCAAAACCCCATTATATAATAAATTTGAATGAGATAATTGTTATTGTATTCAAAATTTTATTAAAATGAAAATTTGGAAGAAATTGAAATTCCCAGCATAGGAATTTAACTTAGAAAACACCTTGGTTAATGGCTAGTGTTTTAATTGGAGAAAAATTGGTGATCATCATTATGAGGGAGTCTTTTCCAAGTACTATGTTCAAGTAAAACGTGACAATGATGCCTATGTATAATACTCAACCATTCCACCTAATGAGAACCCAGAGAAAGAACAATTGTTTGAAGATTAGTTTAAGTCATACTTAAACTACGATGCAAATATACCTGAGCTTTATGAGCACTGGGCCTAGAAAGATAAAAGATTCAGCTAAATTGCAGAACCAATACATGGAGTTAGATGTCTTAGATAAGATCCCTGGGAATGTACAGTATCATTTATTTGCTCATAATGCAACAACATCAAAAGAATCACTTAATTACTTGAAACATTGCGCAAAACTGTAAGCTAAATTGTTGCTCTTAACTAATAATCTTAGTTTGGAAGTGAGATATGCGAAATTGATTAAGATGATGGAACAAGAAGGAAGATATACCAATTTCCTACAGTTGAGCAATTATAGACTGCAACCGAGAAGCAACTCAGAGAATTAATGTTTGGATATAGGGCTAAATATCTTGTCGCTATTTCGAAACAGATAGTTGATAAAGGAGGGTAAAATTGGCTTGAAAGTCTAAGAGGACAACCAAATGAAAAGATTAGAGAAGAATTGACAAGCCTTCCAGGTATAGGTAGCAAGGTAGCTGATTGCATTGCCTTATTTTCACTTGATTGTGCTAATAGCATTCCAGTAGATACTCATGTCTTCTAAATAGCACTCAAACTTGGATATGTCAAGGGATTGAAAAAGGATTCTAGCTTAAATAATAAACTATATCTTTAGTAAATTAGACCTTCCATTAATTTCTCTTTCTAGAATCGTGTAAGCATTTAGAGATAAATTTGGTGATAAGGCTGGATGGGCTCACTAGATAATGTTTGCTGGTGATTTAAAAAGCTTTTAAGAAAAAATTAGCAATAGTAATAGTGCTAATACTAGCGCCTAAAATTCTAAAAAGAGAAAAATAGATGAAATTAAAGATTAAGAGGAGGAAAAAGAAGAAGAAGAAATTAAGGTATAAGATGTAGACACTAAACGTGAAACAAGATCAAAGAGAAGAAAGTTAAACTGATTAAACAAAAAGTAACATTTGATTACTTCTATTTGTAAGAGGGTTGATTAATAAATGATTTTGAGAAAATTAAATAATTGCAATAGATCATTAGTTTTAACTTCTATTTTAGAATATCATTGGATTATGGGGTTTTGGGGTTTTGGGGTTTTGGGG